CCCCCAAATCCATCATAGACTATTGTAAAACAATTTATCATTGCCATAGCTCTTACCACCCATTTGTTGTCTGATTGTGTTTTATAAAGGCTAATTTACCCTTCAATTTCTTCCTCTTTGGACAAATGTTAATACATGTAAATTAATTAAAGAGCAGATTTGAGGGGGAAAACGTTTTCATTTAAGTTTCTGTGGATAAGAGCATATGCTGAATGCCTGAAATGGAAATTAGACTAAAATGTAATTGCCTTCATAATCGAAAGCACTTTTCCTTTAAAGCTTCAATTTTAGGAGCATATAAATTATGGATAGTTGGAAAAGGATTTTTGTGGAGTAAGCCTTTTAGATGGAGAAGAGCCTCGGTGAAACTTTTTTAACCTTGTAGTAGCTTTAGACATTACCCCCAAATTCACTGTCATGCACCACAGGGGATTAACATAGAGGACTCTCAGATTGTATTTTACTGTTTTTTCTCACCTCTTGGCCACCTGATTCATATCAGTGTAGGTTAAACCTTGAAAGCTCACAGTATTTGACTGGATTTGTTCGCTTACTCCATGCTGTGCTATTATCACCATCCTGACATGCTACCTGCTTCTTTGTCATCCATGTACATTTTTAGCCAGAAATATTCAGTTCAGTCTAAACAAATCGATCACCTGTGTTTAAAATAAGAAACCCATAATGTAAAGAAAGACATTTTCCATCCATCAGTTATTTCACCAAGTTATGTTTTGTCTGAATCTGCCTTTTTGTTAGTTAGCAAAGTCTCCATGGCTTTTCCAAGGGGTGGAGCATGACCCAAAGAAGAGCCCATTCAATTCTGATTTTGATCAAGGGACGGATTCAGGGTCACTTTCTTTTACATTGTGAGATGGTGTTTTTTTTACAGTGTTGTTGATTTCTCAGAGATTCATGGATCTTGATGAAGAAATCATGCGTGTTTAAAGGACTAATATTTATTTATGTACAATTTCAGATCCAAATAAAAATCTAGATCTAATTCATTTAAATCTACACTATACTGAGTGCCATTCTAGTATTTTTACTGCTTTTTGTCTATCAGCAGGATTTTGCAAAAACTACTATAATGATTTTCTTGGAGCAGATTCACTTTACCGGCAGATCAATAATTTTTTCACGTTCTTTTAACATTGTGATTTTCTTTATATGAAAAAGCAGGCATGTGTAGAGTGCATGTATCTATGAACATGTGACATTCAGTGCGGATCTGGGTAATGATCCCAATGTATCTCATCTCTGTACATGTATATGCAATATGGTGGCAAAGCCTTGGCAGAGGTCTGCACTCTCCCTTTTAGTTGTGTTAATAAATGCAACAGTATGTTTCATGTATTTTTGAAAAGGTTTTCTGTGACTTCCAGGAGGAAAATGAAGCTTGCAGCAATAAGAGCCTTGTAACTGTGACTATATTATATGAGTGAGTTTATACTCTTGCAAAATATCAACAGACCATAAATACACCTGTGAAATATTCAGTATTGTTGGGCATCTGCTGTAAACTTCCACTGTAAACTTTGCAGAGATGTCAGTAGTCTGGATTTGCTGTTGTCATCCATATTATTATCCCTAACTGTTCACAATTTCTGCTCCATTCAAGAAATAGAGTTTAGATGAAATCTCACACAACCTTACAACGTACCGAAATATGTTAATACAGTGTTTCTCAGTTATAATGATGCAGAAACAATCACAACAGACAGAGTGACGGGTGTGAGAAAGTCTGTCTTCCTCAGGCAATTCATTCTGTCTTCCACCTTATATTATTAATGTTACATTGACACACTGCATACTGAATGAAAGAAAGGTCATGATTTGTAGAAATATATAGAATCCTGTCTAACAAGAGATGGGGGTATGGAATTAATTAAAGTAGTGAAATGTAAAAAGTTGTTATAACAGAGGGATCTGGATGATATATGAAGAAACCACTAGTATAATGTGAGGCTGTTCTTTATATATGAAAATGTCTGAAGACCCAAAGGTTTTTGTAAATTTATGTTAATGATTGAAACATAAAACAATGTCAGCTAAATAAGAACTACTGTTTTAAGCTTAATACCTCCTCTGTGCTTTCCCTATTCAAAGATAATGAGAACACTTTTTCTGGTTCTGTTAAATTCTTTGATTTGATTTTGCTCTTGTCATTTGTTTTACAGCTTTTCTTTACTAAGAAGCATGAGTTTTCTTTTATTACCACATAAAGCTTGCATTAGATCATTTTCCAAATGTCCCAAAATCTAGCTCTGGATATTTCATTGCTAAATATATGAACAAGTGCAGTGAGCTGCCAGAATCCACATCCCAGAGTCACGTACCACATTGAATATTGAACGAGGAGTTTTGTGGGTGGAAAAAATCAATAGTGGCTTACTGCAAATGTGAAAGTGACACAGTCTGGAATCTTTCTCTTTTAGGGGAACAGTGGAGGCACGCTTTGTTTATGTCTTCGTTTTGGGCATCCTCTTCACGGGCACCAAGGACCTGCTGCGGTCCCAAATCATCACAGCAGATGCCAAACTGAAGAGCAGGGGATTGTGGGAGATTTACAGCGGCTTGGTTTTGCTGGTCTCGCTGCTGTTCCGTGCCCACAACATGCCCGTGCTGTGCGGCTGCCTGTTGATCCAGACGCTCATGGCTCAGTTTATCTGGAAGAAGCTCCACTACGACGCAGCCCAGACCACCATCATGCACTACTGGTTTGGTCAGGCCTTCTTTTACTTTCAGGTAAACAAAAATAATCATGTTAGTGGTGGTGCACATTTTAATAGCCATGTTTCCTGTCTGAGTTGTTGAAGTGTCATTAACCAAACCTCTAAATAACTTTTCTCCACAACATTTTTAATGGGAAATGTTTGGAGCCAGAGATTGTGCGGCAGCATTTGGAGGATATAGCCACAGTAGATATGTCCCACTAATCCTGAGTCAGTCTCAGCTGCCAATCATGTTGTTTCACCCTTTTTTGCATCATAACTAATTAAAACAATATTACCAGATAAATGAAACACTTGAACAAACATCGATGTGATAGGAACTACCTAAAATGACAGAACCATCTTTTTGTCTTTTTTATCACTGTCACATCGTCCGTCTTACAGTCTATGGGTCTATGATACAGATACAGTCTATGAGATTTAACTTAGTAGTGGTTAAGTCTCCAGTTAGAATAGTTCACCAAACTGGTCTTGTTAGAAGAAAAAAAACAATGTCGTAAAGCTTTTCTCAGCTGAATTTTCAACAAAGACGTTTAAAAGAAATCTACCACTTTTTTTGTGTTACCAGGTCTGAAGTTTGGTTTACTTGAGGAAGGCCTGTAAATGTGACGACTTGAGCTGAGCTGCTCAATGGCCAAAAGTGTAGACTGTAGTTTTACAGTTTCCAAATGTTAATGTGCAAGGCTTTGTGTCGAGTTTCTGTCAACTTCTGAAAAGTAACATGAGACCCATCATGATTCTGATATGGTCATCATATCTCTGGGTGAACAACAGCTGTTTTTGCAAAGGCATTTGTTGGTTCCTTTAAAACTGAATTCTGGGTGCTGCAGTTATTGATGGTTTTGCTCCTTGACAGTAAGATAAAAGATTTATAAATCCTGTTATATCGCTTAACTTTCTCTCTTCAAATTTAGCTCAATTCAATCAGTAGAACTGCTCCAGCAAATCCATAACACAAGTCGTGTTATTAGAAAACAATAGCAACAATTTATAAAACTGCATGATGCCAACTACACAATGTCAGAGGTGAGGAGCTGTGGCTCATAAAACCAAACTTGCCGACGCTCACATCTTCAAAAGTGAGTTCAGAGAACAACACACTCTTGTGTGATAGTAAGAGACGTCTAATTTAAAGCTGGCACACGGAGTGCAGCAGCATTTAGTAAAAGTATCCCCACTGATAAGGGAAAGTGTAATAGGAAGTGTTTGGGTCAGAGGAAGTGTTTGTGTTTAAATTACATTACCCAGCACCTGTGCTAGTTGTTTCCTGTGGATGTGTTACGGTGTTATGAGCTATGACTGCTCCTTATAGGCCCATATGATACCTGCCATTTGATTTAACCTCTACCCAAGGCAGATATTTGGTTAGCAGCTGTGTACGGTTGTCAACACTGAACTTCCACATCGCTAACAATTTAATAACCCTCATCACCTTTGGGTCATTAATACTGTGATGGGCTCGGGAATAGACCGCCACCAGACAATTTTCAGTCTTACTGCCCAGGCATGTAATCACAGACCTTTGAGTAATAACGTTCTCAACGAAGCTGTAACCATAATGGATCTGTAAAGCTGCGACACCGTGTATGTGATTTAGATTTACTGCTCTGAAACAAAAACTGCTGTTACACAGAACATTCAGCAAGTATAGTTACAGCGGATCCTGGACCTCGGGGCTGCAAATTAATCAAAGTTGTAAGATGTTAGCGCAACAATAATGATAATAATAAAGTTTATTTATAGAGCACTTTTCAAAAAACAGGTGTACAAAGTGCTTCACAGTCATAAAAACTACATTTGTGCATTTACTAGATTAAACAAATTAATACAGGAAACAATGAATGAAAAATCCACTTTGAAAAGACTCTTAAAAGAGGGTACTGAGGTAGCTTGTCTGATTGACAAAGGCAGGTTATTCCAGCTTTGTGGAGCCCTCACAGTAAAAGCTCTACCACCCTTCAAAGCAAGGCTTGCCCTGGGTACCGAGAGTAACGGCTATTTAGCAGATGGAAGGCCGTGGTCAGACCTGGTATTAACATCCATCCTGAAAGTGTCTAATGTGACCACTTGCGATTGGATGTCACTTCCCTGCTCCTTATGCAAATAATCATGACTCATTTATGTTGAGTTTACAGATATGTCCGATGTCACTGTTGTCTCAACTGCATATATTATGAGCTCATCCTTGTGTTTGAGCTCGTCTTGAAGCTGGCTCCGCTCTCTTTTCAAAAGGTCATCTTCCTTCTATGTGATTTACACATAAAGAAATTTAATATTTATATTTGTTTATTCATTTTTGCGTCTAGCGTGCATTAGAAGCGCCATCAACTCGCTTGCGGTGAATCCAGCAGAGGATCCTCTGCTGTGTTCACACATCAGATTCTCCCAGATTTGTCCATGCACCTCCTCTCGAGAAAATACAGTGTTCAGTGCATGTCTGAAAGCAGCTTTATAGGTTAGAAGTGAATCCTTCAGACTCTCAGCCATATTCAACACTCCTTGTACAGCTTTAGCTGTTTTAAACAGCCGGTGTGGAATTTTGGTTGAATGTAAAATATACGTCAAGGCAACTTTCCTCTCACAAATCTCCCTCTTGCTTCTCACTACCCCTTAATTCTCCACAGCTGCTCAACTGTAAATACAGTTAACCCCAGTAATTGTGTGATGTTGACTTTGAGTTTTGAGCAGCTTTCTCACTAACTGCCGGTAGCCGGTGCTCTGTGAGGATGACATCATGGGTTTCAGGTTGCCCACCGCGGCTCCAGTTCCCAGGGGGTGTTTGGGGAGCACAGGCCTGGAGAGCAGATCCACGCTGTGAATAGACAATCCCTCTCTCCTCCTTCAACTCACACACACACAGTGATCTGATCTCTCTGCAACCTTGGCCTGAGCTCAGGGTTTGTTATTGGCTCAGTTATGATGTGTTGACAGATGAGGCAGATGTGTGTTCCCTAGCGTGTTGACTGTTTGTCGGTGCTGCTCTCAAAGTTGAAAAGATCTCACATAAGTTGAGTAAAGACAGTCATGCTGCTTCATGGCAACCTGGTAGATGTTTGGAATGCTTAAAGATCTGTGTTGTCAATTAAGGAACACTGCACTCGCATGTGTATTATCATGGCTTACATAGCTGCTGAACCCCTGACATTGTCCTGACATGTTCCTTAAGGGCTGTATGTGAGAATGCAAATGTCAGAGTCAGTTCCTCCAGACATTTCCTGGAAGTCTTCATATCAGCCCCCTAGTATAATGTTCGTAATATGTCAGAGTGAGCCCATTCTAAATGAAAGGGATGATGAGGTCTGCTTGGTAAGGCGACACAAGGCCATTCAGTGATTTAAAAACAAAGATCAATTCTAAAAACCATTGATATCCAGTGAAATGAGGCGAGAATGGTTCTATGTGCTCATACTTTTAACTTCTTGTAAGAACCCTATAGCTGTGTTTTGAATAAGTTGGTGGTGGTTGATTGATTATTGGGGGAGGCCTGTGAATAATGAGTTGCAGTAATCCAGATGACTGGAGACAACAGGATGAGATGAGGGTTTGCGCATTATTGAACCTACAGATTGATCTGATCTGGACAATATTGCTCATTTGACTGACAGCAGACTTGCTAATATTGATGAGATGTCTAGATCAGAATAGTGTAGAGTCTCATAAATATCTACAGAAAGTTGGATTCCAAATTTAGTCGATTTCTGTTTTTTTTTTTGGCAGCCTCAAAACCACCAGAGCATAGTAGGATATATCCCAGGTGACGTCATCTGCAATGACAGCACCAAAAGAGTTCAATCATATCACATTATGGACTGACTATCTGACAGGAGAGGATTTAGCTGCTTGTTTGTAGCAGTCATGATGGAGTGATGGACATGTCAGACTTTGCTTCAGTGGTATTTCTGAGGGTTTATCTCCATCCCAAAACCAGATGGTCTGTGAAGCAGCAAGAAGGTGTTTATTCTTCAGAAATGAGACAGTTTGTGCAAAAGCTCTGATGTGTCACCGGATGTGTATGAATTTAACCTAGCAACCTTCTGTAAAAAATATGACTCATAGACTGTTTTAGAGCTGAGAAATGAAAGGTGATCTCTCATTTGATTTTCTGGTCTCATCAGTTCTATAGTTATTCTGTTTTGCACATACATCAGCATTTTGCAAAGCATGAATTCAATGTGTGGAGGCAGCGGGAGTGCACGTGTTCACGCATGAATGTCGTTCTCACATGCAATAGAGTGAAAGACAAGTTCTCGTATCTGAGAGAGGACTGTAATGTCTGTCATTTCCAGATACGTGCAAAACTGCATCTGAAACTATGAGGCCTGTCTGTCAGTGTGGACAGTAAAAACTGTATGGATGATAAATTGTACTGCAAATAGTACTTCAAATAGTACTGCACATAGCAATGCAATGCACTTAGAGCACCAAGTTAGAGATTTGTTATGATCTAGATGATCAATAGAAAACACTGTATATAAAACCTAGGTTTGAAGTTATTATCCTCACGGAATTACAGACGTTAGTACTCAGACTTTCTCAAACAGAGGTGTCTGGAGTCATCGCATAGCCATGCTTCTTCTCCGCGTGGTGTTCACTTCAGCTGAGAGCTCTCATCGACCAGCCTTGCTCTCTGATAGTTGTTATGACAATCAATTTTGTATGGAAATTCATACATAAAACATTTTATGCTCTCCTGCTTTTTCATGATATATTTGTCGATGATGACTTCAGCAGGTAGAAAACATGCATATGTAGCCATCAGCCTGCTCACTGATATTCACTGTGTGTTTGTTTAAGATGGAGCCAGCTGTTAATGCTCTCGTCCTCTGTGATCACAGACGGCGTGTGCACAGAAGGGAATTAAACGATCACATGTTCTATTGCTGCTAGTGGTTCATTGTCGCATTCAAATGTAACAAGAAAGCCATCCTTGATCTCTGCTGATTCCCAGAGACGTTCTTTTTTTTTTTTTTTTTTTCCTCGTGTGTGTTCATGCATAGGGTGGAACTTAAATGCAACAGCCTTACAATCAGAAGAAATTGTAAAGGTAATTATCACTTGTTATGCAGAAAGAAATTGAATTTGTCAAGTAAAACACTTACAAAGTGAAATGCTAATGAGCCAATTTGAGCTTAATCGGAAAAGATCAGAATGTGCCACCCAGAAATCAGATTAGGCTCCTGAGCAGCTCGAGTTTGAACACAAATGACTTTGACTGAGAATTCTCTCTTTGGGACTAGTCTAAAATTATAACAATGATTTTATTATGAATCATAGATAAGGAAATATTACTTAGAGAATGGATCTATACTGATCCCAAAAACTAAATAAAAGATAACATATGTCTCAGGCCTTGTTTCACATAAATTACAACAAAAACAAAACATCTACAACCAAACAACAAAGTAAATACATGTACATACTTATTGCATCACAAATTATGAATAAGTTGCTGCCATGCAATCAATATCTTCACTTCCTTTAACATTTAGAACTTGGTCAATGCAAAGACACTGAGTGTGCATTAGGTTTTTTTTCTTCTTTTCATTCAATTTAAAAAAGCTTTTATTAAACACAGTTTGTGATGAAACAACTATGGAAACATTTTCATGAAATATTTCATATTTGCACATTTTGTAGCTCTTTTTGTGTTAGTGTTGCATTATGTTATTACATTCAACACCGTTTGTTGTCCTTGTGTGAATATATCCAACACTTACAGCACCATATAACTTTGTTTGTTGTGGCTCTAAATCGTGATTGTACTGCACTGAAAACACTTTCTCAAGATTAAAGAAAAGCAGAAAATGAAAAAGGGTTGGTACAATTTTAATATCTTGAGTTGACTTCAGGCATATTTCCCTTTTTTGTTGGTTGAATAAATCAGAAATACTCTTGGTATTAAGAAAACCAACATATGGTAAATAAACGTATGCGCACAAACATGACCTGAGTGACTCTTTGAGTTCAGCTCCAGATAGAAAGCTGTGGGCACTGCTCTGGTCTGAAAAACACAAACAACCAGGCTGCTGGGAAGTTGCCAGAAGCTCAAAGTAATGATGATGAAGCAGAGGAGCAGGCGTCCGAGCTCTGAAATGCTTACAAAGCTTCACACACAGATCTTTGTGTACTCTTTTGTCGGTACACAGGGTGAGTTATTCCTGCGCCCCTGGCCATGCTAAATAAGAATTTCTTGTGCTTCTGCAGGGTAATTCCAACAACATTGCCACCGTCGACATTTCAGTCGGATTCATCGGACTGGAAAGTTACGTGGAGGCACCTGCCATCTTCTTAACGGCCCTCAACACTTATGCGGGGCCCCTGCTCTGGGCATGTCACCTGGTCTGCTACCTCAGCTCAGAGAGAGACCGGTAAGTCACTCTGACGCAGTTTGTACCTTGCTTGCACGTCTGCAGTTTCCAGAAGAAATAGAATTAGAAACTGTTCTGTAACTAAAAGCTTTAAGGAATGGAGATATTGTTTGAATAGCTAAAAGTAGTTGAGAAACTGTTGAAATAATTATAGAGGTGAAAGCTGAAAGTAAAGAAAAATGATTATTTAAGAAGTGAATTAAAGTTACTAATGAATAAACAGTTGAATAACTAAAAGGCATGAAAAGGCATCAGTCAAGTTTAACTTCCATCTTTTTCAAGGCAACCATAACACTCACTGTTCAATTTTAGGAAAACACTATTGTAATAATAAGTGGGATTTTAGAGCAGCTGTCACATGTAAACAAATCCCTGGTAAATAATAGTCTGTTGCTATTAAAGAAACCCCCTGATATAATATAGTCACATGGTTTTCATTGTTGCAAGTTTACCTTTCCACCTTTCACAAATACATTTATAGATCTTACCTTTCTCACAATGTTTAAGAAGTCTGCTCCAAAAGGAAATGGGTTCTACTCCTTTCACCAAGTTTCATTAAAATAATAGTAGTTTTTGCTGAGATCGTAATCCTGCTAAGAGACAAACAGGCAGCAGTGATACTTGGCAGAAGTAATAATACAACAAGCAGATGGATGGATGGATGGATGGGTGGATGGGTGGATGGATGGATGGATGGATGGATGGGTGGATGGATGAGACATTGATGAATAATAACCCATTTGGAACATTATGGTTAGTTGGTTTTATTGTACTTTAAACCATCCGTGGCATCTCACCCACACAGCATCATCACTGCTGAGCGACTCCAGAGTGTTTCTTTCTTTTAATACTTTTTCATTCTGCATCTCTCTGCGGGGACAGTACAGGTGCTGTTATAAATATTCTGTTAATTGGCAGCAGGGTGATTTGGCTTGCAGGGTATCAAAGATGCATGTAAACAGCTTAACCTGCATAACACCTAAAATGGAGAGAGGCCAGGAGCTTAGCTGCTGTGTGTTTGTCAATGGAGCCAATAAGTACAGCTCCCCCTCAGCATGAGGCCCCTGCACAGTGCTGAGTGATGAGCCCTGTGTCTTGCCACCAGCTGCCCTGCAGACAGAACCTGAACTAGAATCCTCCTTTAATGTTGATAAAGTGTGGTATTTGTATAAAATCAGTTTGTTTAACCTGCCTCTGTTAAAATGCCAGTGACAGAAATTCAGGGGTAAATATAACATCTATCTGCAGCCTCGTGATTTAAAGTCACTACAATTCCTTAGCACAAATGTTAGGGTGGGTGTATGTTTCCATGCATGATTTAGATTCTTAATCATTTTCGAACCCACATTTGAATATAATGTGTTTGACTTTTCAGGAGCCCAGACAGTCTCTGATTAAAAAGTTCTACTCATCTTTAAACGTTTGCATTGCAGAGGCAGAGCCTGGGGATGACAAAGTTGATCCATTAATACATCTAACATTTCTGTCCAGAGTGGCTCCCCTCTGATGACTCGCCGAGAAATGTGATGTGGTTTTTAAAAGTCCCAGAGAACATCTCAATGATGTTGGTGACAAAGACACAGAAACCTGTAATGATGTCCATAAAGTTTTCTCTAATGATACCCCAAAAATGTCCACTTTAGCATAGAAGTATCAAAATGTATTCTCCATATTGATTATAATGGCCTCCTCCATCTCCTGTAGCATTATACTCAGGTAAAAACTAGATTTACACTTCTCCCTTCACTGCTCCTTCAGAATCTCAACCACATGTATTAATTCTCACACATTGCCAAGGTGAACCACTAATCTCAACAAGTTGGAATTGGCCACCACAAACATTGGTCAAGTATCCCATCCTTCAATAGTTGGAGCAGAGGAATGATGTTATTCTCTCGTTCAGGATTAAACAGGTGAAGTTTCCACACGATTTATTTATTAATAGCTCTAAGGAAGAGGATTAGCAGACAGGTAGCATGAAAATCCTTGTTGCTGATTGGCTGGAGCAGTGTTGTCCAGTTTTCTTTTTCAGACATGATCTCTGGAGAATGTCTGCAAGTGTGTCACCACTGTGTTCTCATATCGGCTCATTAGAAAGTATTATACAATATCAAAGTTTTTACTTGGGGGCTGACAGAGGAAACTCGCCTCTCACTCTGACATTTGTGTTCTCACATGCAGACCCTCTGGAGAATGTCAGGAGATTATCCGGAGTTCAGTGTATGACTGAAAGCAGCTTTTGTTTCCCAAATACAGAGTCAGAGCTTTGTATTTAAACCATACTTTTTCCAGCCCACACATAGAACTAGAATTTAACAAAAGGTAAATTGGATTAAATTCCTAACCCCATCTTTAAGAGTAAATGGTAAATTCAAAGTAAAGCCACATATTGTACCTACACCACAACAGATCCACCAAAGCTGTGGCATAGTATTCATGTTCTATTAGAAACAGTAGAAATAAGAGAAGGATCTCAACACAGTAGCACAGGGGAATGACTTCACAGGGACTAAATATCATCACAGATATGTTGTGAATTTCATGCAGATAAATGTATGTCCCTCTACTAAAAAAATTGTGTTCAGACGCAGCACAATCTGAACCTGAGGTCCAAAAACAACAATGTAAGCAGGTGGTAAATCGCATTTAGAGTGACAGCGCGATTGATCCGCCCACAAACAGCTGCTAATGGGAGGTGATGCTGGTGCCTGAGCTGCCTCGCTACACTCACTGTGGGTTTACTCTCCATAACTCAATCACCAGCGTGTTGTTCATTCTGCCCCAGAGTTTGATATCGTTTAACCTAAGATGCCCTTCATACATCAAATCCAGCTTGTAAACATGATATTCTACACGACATGACCATCTTGCATTGCTAACATAAATCACAGTGTGGTGCTTTCCACAGAAGCCCCACTTGTAATATGGACATATGAGACTAAAATAGTCTCATCCAGAGACACAGATACAGGTGCTCATTTAAGATTCACTCTGCAGCGTCAGCAGCTCAACCACAAGGCAAATCCTGGAAATGGGCTTTGATCAATAGCTATTCTACGGGTTTCCCTGGACACCGTCAAAGTCCACTTAAAGCCTACTATGGTTGGAAGAGAATGTTTTCATTGTTTTATTGTTCCACATAATCACTGTGGAGCTTCAAGGCTGGCTTATCAGAGGAGACTCATCTCCACTTTACTTTTTTCATTAAAGTCAGATACACAGACTCAAAAACAAGCAGCAGAAATCCTATTCAGGTCAAATTATTTTCTACATATCCTTGATTTCCAAGACACTCAATTGGCTCTTTGAAATCTTAGTTGAGAGGTGAAAAAGCACAAATAGAGATGATGTCGGTGGATTTTTTTGTGCTGCTTTCTACAGTGAGGTGTCGCTTTACTGACATAGTGAACTGCTGGAGGACAGTCAGTCAATGCATCGCGTATCTTTCATTTTGCACTTTTTAACATTAAGAACAACCAGACCACAACTACTTTTTTCTTTTACACCCTTTCGACTTCTTTCTTCGTCTTCTTTCTACATCTATCTTCTTTCTACATCTTTCTACTTTCTACATCTCGTTTTGTTTTACAATTCTCACTTTTCCAACCACACTCTAAATGACATCAAGCTAAAGTAGAGCTAAGCTTCTTTGTCACCTCATTCATTTATAATTTATAACTGCGAATTAGACACCAAGTCAGATATGTGGCACATTTCCTCCACCAACAGGAGGATGAAGTCGCTGGCAGGATTTTACAATTTAACCCACCTGAGAGGTTGCACATGAATGTTTCATCAGCTCTTTGAGGTCGGACACAGAAATAAACTTAAGCTGTGTTAAAAACAGCAGCACTCTGGAAGTAGCCATTAGCTGAAGAGCTTCACTTTTATGTAAATTCACAGAGTTTGATGGGATTCAGTCTCATTAGGGCTCGAGCACTGACAGTGTTAAGTCCTCAGTCTAAGCATGTCATATATTATCACACAGGTCATATGTTAGCACACACTTTGAAGGGTTAACTATTTGTAATCTCATAGTCGCATCTGAGTTCATACAGACTTTTTCTTTTCTGGGTCTTGTCACATAGATGAAAATCTGGAAGTTTTCTCATTGATTACAATAATACAATCACATTTTCTTTACTGCCTCTTGGGAAACAATTTTACTCTTACTCTTTTTCTTTTGCCACTTGCCTACTCCACCAAAATTGTATTATTGATTATTGTTCATATTACATTCTTCTCATGTCTACCATTGTGTGTGTGTGTGTGTGTGTGTGTGTGTGTGTGTGTGTGTGTGTGTGTATCTGGACTCCTTCCCACGTCTCCTACCTTATCAGTGTGTCTTCTCTTGTCTTGAAGTTCCTCCCCCTCAGCTGGGACTCTGCCTGTTTGAATGAAGCCGCCTGTGTTTGATTTTACATCATCTCCTAATTTCCTCGTTGCATCCATCCTCCTATCATGCAGGTTTACAGTTATTTACTTCTTCAGAATGTGCCAGCAAACCATAATGTTGTGTTAAGGTGATTGGATCAGACTGTTCTCCTGGCTACATGTGAAAGATAAAATATTTAGAATGTGAAAAATGTGGCACCATCAGAAACAGTTGTCACCTTTTGTGACTCAACATCCTCACGGATCATTTAGAAACAATTAATTGATTGAGGATGACCTTTGCTCACAAGGAAACTTGTCTGTGTTGCTCTACAGGAAGTGTTTCTATTATTCACAGCACAGAGTTGCCAGCTTTGCCTCCTGCTGTTCTTTCCTCCTCTCTGATGCATCTTTTTTGTCTCTGCAGGAGCCCGGTTGCAGTCGGCCACGGTTGCTACTGCTTGGCCCTGCTGAGGTCTGTTCCTGCTGCAGCCTACATCGTGCTGGTGACTGTTCTGCGCTACCATCTCTTCATATGGAGCGTCTTCTCACCTAAATTACTGTACGAGTCCATGCACCTGCTGCTGACTGCAGGGATCTGTCTCTTCTTCAACACGATGGAGCACAGCCACAGCTCTGCTACGTCATAGGCAGAAACGCTGACCATTAAGAAAATCTCTGGAGTCGAAGGGTCAGATACAGTCTCTTGATTTTGTGTGTAAGAACCGCTCATAAAGACTGATAGACACTAGAGCATGCTTATCCTCACTCTGTAGTGTACTCTGTTCATAGTATGTGAGCAGATCCTTCTGAAACAGTCCATCATCTGGACTCTGAAAGTCTTCTTTGCAAAAATACTTTGAAAATGCATTTACAATGTATTTTTGAGCAGTTTATTTAATATTTAATACTTTCTAACGAGAAAATGTTTGTGGGTGAATAAAAGTGGAATGGTGGAAATAAGCTTTTTGAAGGAGAATAACTTTTTTATACATACAGGGTGCTAACTCAGGGATCGGTGTACAGTGAGTAATAGAGTTTAAGGTTTTAGCTCCATGGGTTCAACATCAGTGGAGAAGCTTGTGTGTTAATGTTGAATGGAATGTAAACATGATGTTTACAGAACTGAACTCTGCTGAACTATTATTGAATAGATCATCAACTCAATGACTCATCGGGGAAAGTAAAAGTACTATTAACATGGTAAATGGACTATTTATATAACGCTTCTCCTGTCTCATGGACGTCTCTAAGCCATTTTAAAATTCACCCATTCATGCACACACTCAAACAGAGCTCCTACATGCATCATATCTTTTTCTATCACACTACCTTCATACACTGTCAGCCCAGTCGTCAGGAGCAATTTGTGTGGTTTGGTATCTTGCCCAAGGACACAATGAAATGTGGACTAGAAGAGCCAGAGTTCACTTTACCGACCCTCCGGTTAGTGGACGACCTGCTCTACCTCCTGAGCCACAGCCGTCCGATAACTAAATTATTAATGGCTGAGTTCCATTAAGCTGCTTCAGTGTTAGGGTCATAGTTTTACTGACACTGTCACATCGTACTGGGACACTTGAAGACATTAGAGACATTGTTAATGTTAACACCTCACCTTTGATTTTCCTAAAACACGAGCATGTGTTCTGTCGACTATTGGCCTATTGACTAATCATACAGGTCTATGTGGTCAGTAGTGTGAGGGGGATGTCAGTCAAACACAGACTGGACCTGCCCACGCAGCTTAAGGATGATGTCAAGGCTGTTGTCTAAGATATTTTCACATCAGATGAGTAGTTACAACTCAGACACTTCTTGTTCACAGTCTGAGAAAAAGGGCTGGACAATAAAGAAAATGCATCAAATTACCAATATTTTTAATCTCATGCCAAATTCGGAGCCCATCGGCTATTGTCTGACACTAATTATCTTCTATTGGCTTCTGGTGTAGACATCGGATATCTGGGCCAAGTCTTCAGTTCGCTGTACACTGTTTACAGTCCGTCCAGTTTCTTTTATCACACAAAACACAGTGATACTTTTTAAAGGTGTTTTCAGTCCAGTCGACATTTTGGCTAATCTCTATCAAGACTGTTTGCCTGTGAGCAAGTCTGCTCAAACCAATCTAACTCCCAAATGTTGTCCCTCGTTCACAGATTCTGCATGTTCACATCTAGAATCTGTTTATAGAAATTCAACACAATTTCTAGTAACTAAATAATCTGTCTCCAATATAGCAATCGATTTTCTCTGGACATCCAGAATCTTAAACCTGTATAATATTTGTACTATTATAAACTGTAGCACATGTTGTACAGTTGTAATTCAAATTTTATTCATTCAGTAGCGATATTATTGTCTTGGCAAAGATTTCTACAAATGATAGTACTAATAATGTCGAGGCCCATTAATAAGACCTGACACACTCTTCCTGACACACAGCCTGTTTTATCTCTGTATATGTCAATAAGGATTTAGCTGTGGTGATGTCAGGCTCAAAATCTGTGTAAAGCAGTGTGTAGGACACACTTGATGAAATTGGCATACGTACCCAGTTATCATGGTGGTGTCAGTTCTTCTCCATAAATATATCCAATATATATTTTTCTCCTCATTACATTTTCTACTTAATCTACTGAGGTAGTTTGAATTCACAAATACTGAGCTCGGTGTTATCAACAGTCATCATTTATCTGCAGCACAGCTTCAAGAAGATGTGAGAAAATCAAGTGGACTTTCCTTCAGTTTTTTTAATTTATTGAGTTCCCACATTGTTGTGGAGGAGATAGAGTTTGAAAACACTAGAACAGCTAAAATTATTCGAGCTGGATGACCTTAAGGTTTTGCTAAAGGCACACAATTTCCTTTTTTTAATTTGCTCTCCTTATCCGGCTGAATCCTCCTGTATATACATTACAATTTTCATTGTGCAAGTCATATAACTTCCAGAGTCTGGCACTGCACTGCAGAGTTATGCACTTCTCCAACTTCTACTCAATCCGTTCCTTCAATATCACTGAGAATACTACCAAAGTAAAGTTAGAAAGTTGGCGATCGTCCAAAGTAATAAGAGTATGGAGCCAGAACAGCAAACAGTGTGCTGCTGTCCAAGTACTTATGGAGCTCACAGTATAATTACTGCCTGCTTGGACTTGAAATTTTGGTCTGATGAAACTTTTTAATGTCATTGACTCTTTGTTTCTGTATCATCATCATTTTTGTTTTGTGTCAGTGTGTCCATCTCCCAGATGCATGACCACAGAGCTAAGACTTCCATTGTAGCTGTCTTTCTGTCAGGTTGCTGGTGTCAGTGGTGTCAGTGAACAGCTGTGACGACTTCAAAGCTTCTTTCTCATAATTACCTGACAATCCTTGGCTCTGAGATTTGTCCAGAAAAAAAGGAAAACAAGTTTAAAGATAACGTGTTCCAGCCACAGTGAGCAACTTTTCACCTCCAGGCAGTAAAGTGAATCGTAAGTTCCCACCCCAAAAACTTGTCATTCACCTTGATGAGCTGTCTGCCTTGAAACGGCATCTCGCCCAAGGCTAAGATCACTGACATTCCCTCAAGTCGCCATGGGCGTCGGAGACGCAGATGGCAAAACTGAGGAAGGGGTAAAAAAAACAGCAATGCTGGTGTTTGGTGTGTTATTGAATAGAATTTGTGCTTCGTGACGAGCCTGACTCTTTATTTTGCTGCCATCGCAGTTGTTGCTTTGAGTCACCTTGACAGGGACAGGGAGCCGCAACGCTGACTACACCCAGAGAGAATGGAATTTAAATGTCCTGAACAACATTGAAAAGTTAGACAAACAGGAGGATTTACATTTGAATAGACTGACAGACATACACTGCATATGGATCACAGTGTGTTTACTGGTTTGCATCAGAAGCAGGACACGTTTAGCTTTCAGGTTTTCAGGCTCGACATCATGTTATTCCTCTTCTAAACCGGTAGCACACTGTCACAGCACACAGGCTTCAAACAAAGGCTGATGGAAATAGTTGATGAAGCAGATAATAATCTACATCACTCATGAGGATTGTTCCGTCAGTGATCAGTATGCTTCATATCACCTTGCCTGTCTAACAACAATCACAGTGTCTCAGTAGCAAGGAATAGTTTGAAATTTTCCAGGAAAGCAGAAGAGACTGCAGGAAGTAGATGTGCCCGGTCAGGAAATAGTCCAGAGCAGAACAATATCATTATAGTTTATAAAAGATAACTTGAATAATGTGTGATATCATCAGAGTGGTTATCTTTCTGAGGGTCTGTCAGTAGTTTGTGGGTTTTCTGTTTTAAGTTTGTGTCTGGGACATTTTTCTTTCCATTCATTTTGGTCTGTTCATCATAAATAAACCAGAAATGTAAAAGCTTCACATCAAGAAATGGCTATAGAGTTTTATTGACCCTAAAACTGTTTCTAAATTTGGGTTGATTCTTTTTCCAAAACCTCCTCTGCATCCTCTGTTAAACTCGTCGGCACCGGTGCAAGACGAAGCCTCACAACTGCTTCTCACAAATCTGATGGGACTGCTCTTTTTGTGTGAAATCATTCCTCTGTATCCAAATACCCAACAGCCCATGAAATGGATCAGAATAATTGCAGTGTCCACATGCTGGAAAGTTTCATAGCATGTGTTAGTAATACAGTTGTACATCACAGGAAGAGTGGACTGATGTCTAATTACTCTCACATTGTTTTAACATCCTTCAGATCACATGTACACTGATTTCACATCATATGAGACAATCGTCTTTAGAACACTTTTGTTTCATAAGATTCCGTGTCACTATTATCAAATGTGTTGTTGTAAGAACTGTTGGTTTATTTTTTGTCAAACCAAAGCTTCATTACAACCTGTAGAAGTTTAAGTAGTCTTGATTTCATTTGTTTCTCAGTGTTTCTTCATTTTGAAAGAAAATCAAACTAATTGCTGGGAGGAAACTACTTCATGTTTCTGTTGATGGCTACAATGTGTGGATTGACCTGATTGCATCCATGTTGTTTTGTATGAAGTCTATATGAACTATACAATGTGTTTGTATAGCGTCTCTTTCTGTGATTCTTTTTGCCATATGTGCTGAACCTTTGTTACTGATTTTCTGTATTTTACTGAGCTTTCTTTCGGTTCCTTGTTTTTTGTTGCAAAGCTCTGCAACACATGTGAAATGATACAAAGTGAAAGATGATTTACCAAAATATTTTTTTTAATCAGGAGTCACTATTGGTTTCTAATGGTGAAATAATAAAGCCATGTGAAAGTTGACCCTAAACACAAAACCAGAAGCCGGCTGAATAAAATATTCAACACATAAACAAATATCCAACTAGCTGCAGTGCAGACTGTTAAAATGGATCCATTGCATCTCATCAGGTTGGTTTTCCATTTTTATAAGCTTCCATCAGTAAATCTGTGTTTAACCAATGCTGTAAATATTGTATTGCACTTCTGTCCGTCCTACTAGAGGGATCCTTCACCTGTGGCTCCCTCTGAGGTTCCTACGTTCTTTTTCCCCTGTTAAAAGGATTTTGTTGTAGTTTTTCCTTACTCTTGTTAAGGGTTAAGGACAGAGGATGTCTCACCTTGTTAGAGCCCTATGAGACAAACTGATTTGTAATATGCGCTATGCAAATAAAATTGATTGATTGATTGATTGATTGATTTTTGACACTTATTTCAGTATGTGCTCACTCTTGCTCCTAGCACAACAGCAGCGAGCATCAACTGTTCTGTGTGTAGCCTGTGTCTATTTTCAATACAATAGAACATAAGTGTTGCAACCTTAATGTTTAAAATCTCTTATAAAGAACTTTTAAACTGTCTTTCAGCTCCGTGCAGCCTGGGTTGAGACCATGTGTCTGCAGGCTCATCCTGCTCTGGAGGATGGATGACATATGATGCACTTTTCACAGTTTCTCCTTCCAACGTTTCTTACTTACTTTAATAAATCTGGACAAGAAACCATCTGTGCAAGTGCACCTTGCATATCTCCACGTACAGTGTTGTGGTAGGAGGATGATAATTTAGTAATCAGCCCTCTATCTGCATTCCACCCACCAAATAATTATTTTATGGCTTCAGGAGCTGGACTTCAATGCCATCATTAGAGGAACGACACGTTTCATGCTGTGCTCACTTCTGAGTGGGAGTCTCTCTTAAAATCCTCCAAAGTAATGAAGCACTGAAGATCTATTATTGCCTTGAAATCAGAAATATTGCAGACAAAAAGATGAATTTAATGTTGGTTTAAAGCCAAAAACTATGAAGCTGCTACAATCAATATTATGCATTAAAAAGTGGATTCAATGACTGTGTATTGTTAAATGAGTCACTCACAGTTATGAACCTCCAGTGAATAATCACCTGACCCTGCAGCTCCACAAAACATATTCTTTGCTTTGGTTTCGTGTCCCATCAACTAGCTGGTAACATTTAGCCAGAGCCAGATATTCCCTCAAGAGTTGGTAGAAATCAGAACTGAGCTTAGAGGAGAGTAAATATTGGACGAACATCCGTCAGGAGTCTAGAAATACGACTCCAGATGAATGATAATGCTGCTGTGTATCTGCTGGCAGTGTAAACTGTTGGCTGACAGGTTTGTCACATAAGTTTAAAATAACAACAATACTGCTTGTTTGTCTTCAAGTGGCCAGAAAAATCCCTTCATGCAGGTTCAAGTCAAACTAAATGATTAGAATAATTCCTAATCCCTATTGAAAAGGGATAAAAGTGACAGAATATATTTTTATGTGAAGAAAAACATTACATTACACTTCCTTCCTTTGCAGTGCAATGTCTCTGTAATTCATGTTGTGTTTATCTTCGTGTGAAAGGGCATAAATCATGTTGACATAAATCAGTAAGCGCCTCCTCAGTTTTTACAATATGCTGCTGGAATACATATCTGACACTCTGTGATTTGCATGTTGCTCCACATCTCTTTCATGTGAAGTCAGGACTAACGGCGTCTGGCCGTTCCAACAGAAAATACAGAACTAATTACAGAAGCCGAGCAGCTGGAGAGCTAAATTGAAGTTGGGCCTCTGAGTTGGAGCTTTCCGTGTGAAAGCGACCTTAACTCAGCTCCAGCGCTCCACTCTTTTAATGCTCCAGGAGTTGTCTGCTAAGTGGCAGATGGCGGTGAGCCAAAGAGGTTATTGCAAATTTAGAGCTGGCTCCCTCTGAAAACACCATCCACTGCAGGAGCTAGTGATTGACGCACACCTCGCTCTGTGGCTGCAGATGCTGCCAGGGTTCCCCTTCTCCCTCCGCTGCATCCCTGCCACACTTCTCTCTCTTCCAAGCTACTGAGAGGAATCCGCTCACTAAAATTCTACTCTTGTTAAGATGCCTGGAGGGAAACACTTGCTGTTTGCATAAATTTACAACTGGCTTGACTTACAGAGCGGCGGAGAAACTGCTCGTTAACCTTCCATGAAACACATTTGACCATCTGCATCAAGATCCTTTCATTGATAATCGCATCAGATCTGACGTGAGGAGGTTTGACTGAGTTGTGATTCTGACCTAGAAAAACGTTTGAGTATTTTTCCTGCACTTTAAATGGATGTGTTGAGAACACTTTCTGGGAATTATATAATCACTCCATATTCAGAATAATATAGCAGTGGCACTGCTGGAGAAGCTGTAGGTGAGAAATGTGGTACTAAGAAATTCTATTAACAATATCATTTTCAGGTAGAAGAAATGGATGGACAAAGCATCCAGGAGATGCTTTGCTGGCAAAAGGTGCTCATTAGGTTGCAGATAAAGGGAACAAAAGACATCTGGTATTGAGAGTTTAGTTTATATCTGAGAATAGAAAGATAATAAAATAGCAACAGTGAGGAAAAGCACTCATTAAGTATTAATTCAGCAGGCTGCCTTGTGAGATGGGTTTACTCTAATCCACAAATCCAGCTGCAGGTCGGTGAGGGGAAGCTTAGTTGTTGCCGGTGTAGTTGTTAAAGCGATGACAAGGAAACCATTAGTAAGTCAAATGATTAGTCGATCAATAGAAGATACATTTACAACTAACTAAAGATTGTTTTAGATGCCAAGCATTATTTAGTGTCACAAAGGTCAGGATAAAACCTTTGGGTTTTGGATTACTGATCAAACAAAAGAAGACATTTGAAAAGGACACCTTGAGCTTCAGTAACTTGTGATGAAAATCACTATTTTCTGTTCAATTCAAGCTGAAATAATTGATCAGTTTATCACAAAAGGAATAATTACATTAACTCATAATCAAAGTTAGTCATATGTTGTCATATGTTTTGCTCCCCAAAAGTGAAGCCAAAGCATTTCAATCACCACCTGGTGGCTGGCTGCAGTATTTGGTTGTTAAACTTTGACGTGAGATATCTAAACAAAGGCTCTGGTATTGTCAAGTTGCCGCAGTGCTGCATCCCCTGCTGTCTGAATCCATCTGAAAAATGCTCTTCAACTGTCATTCTACAGTTTTTCCTTGCAGTGAGAAAGAGAAGAAGAAATGGCTGAAGTTGATAAGGCAAGCTACAATTTTTAGGAAACTCAAAAGTGAGTGGTTTTGTTGATCAGCATGCCCCAGTGAATGATAGTTACTGTTGGCAAGAACAGTTTGATTTGGATACAATTAATTTAGGTCACTTTTTAACCTTATTGTTGCCTCACTAAAAAAGCTAATGCTAATTCACTGAGCTGCATAAAGCCCAGCTCTGTGTATACACTCAGACAAAATTTGGTGAATTTAAATACATTTCAATTGATTCTTATTCAGTTGAATATAAAAGCAAAGGTTTCTCATTACTTGCAAATAAGGTGAACACAAAGTGAACAGGGCTGGAGCATATTGATTTTGAAGGGTCTATGTGGGTGATTTTCTATAACATCTCTTGTTTGTCTCTAAAAATGTTGCTCCTGATGAGAAAAAGTGAAAGTTTTAAATTCTTCAAAGACATATCAAAGGAAGCAAGCTTATGAGAAATTGGCACAGGCTAATGGTTTGGACACTCTCACATACAGTAGGTAATGAACCACATTTTGTCAGGAAAAACCCAGTGTTGGCTTTTAAAAGCCGCTGGAGTTTTTCCAGGCACAACTTTCCCTGGCAGCTGCACACAGACAAATGGATATGTGTCTAATGAAAGGCTTTTAGGGGGTATTGATTTATTTATTTTTTGGACAAGTATGCAGATGGAAAAGAATAATGTAATGTAAGTTATATGTGTGTGTGTCTCAGCAGCACAATGATTGTATTCTGTGAGTGAGCAGCTACACAAAGCGGCACAACAAGGTTCAAAAGGTTAGTATGCACGTTAATGAGCTGATTGTCAAACCAAGTCTCAAAGTAGGAACAAAGACATTATTTGATCTCACTTCCTTCCCTCGGGGGTTCATGGTGGCTCCTGTCCACGTACATCACTCATCCAAATATCTGCAGTGTAATCACTTGTGCAGAAACCCTCTTTTATTATTCCTCTGACTGAGGGAGGAACTTTGAGATGCAAGTCAGCGTTTTTTTACTTTGTGTGACCAGAGCTGGAGGCTGTCATTACACTAATGCAGCACTGCTATCCAACAAAGGATCTGCCACCAGGAAAGAGAAAAAAAGAAAAAGCTGCAGACCGCACTGAACACAGATCTTAAGATAATAGAGTGCCCTACATCCCAACCTCGCATGTCTTGGCTTTTTAAAAATGTGCAATTACTCATCATTACAGCTCTGAAGCAGCAGGATGTGTCATGTAGCAGAAAACTTACCGTGAGCAAGCTTCAAAGTCAGAGCTAATTCATTAATGGAGGTAATCACTTACAGATACACAGTGTTGATGGCTTCTTAAAAGCAGCTTTGACATTGAATTAGTGATTCATAAAGAGATTAATAATGCACAACATTTATCATGACACCAGTTGAAATCATCATCTGTTTGAACAGAAGGTCACTGGGTCAAATAACCTCTTCACCCTCCTCTCACGTAGCAGCTGAGCATCAGTAGAGCACTGCTGCACCAGGCTCTCACTGTGACTGTGTAAAAACAGCCTCCAGGCTCAGAGGACACTTAGTTTCCAGTGAACAGGCAGGTGACATTTTGTTAATGACCACAGAGAAGAGATGCATTTGTCATGATGGACAGCGGATTAAAAACTGCTCCCACAGTGATGACTTTCACAAAGTTTGTAAGAGTGAATGAACTTTGTCATTTTATAATTACATTTGATTGAGATGATATTTAAACACAGTTACACTGCTGACTAAAACCAGCCAGACTAAATCGAGAGTTTCTCTTGGTTCGAT